TGTGCTCCGGGGGTGCCCCGCCGAGGGCTCGGCTCCGCCTGCCAGGTCCAGTTTGCCCCCTGCCGAGCCGGGCGGGTTGGGGAGGGAATCTGCTGGAAGCCAACTTTGGCTGTGGTTGGATCTATTTCGCTTGGAGGACACCATTGTGCGTGAAGGAAACTGGTCCACTTGGCGTCCTCTTTCAGCCCTTAAATTTATTAATGGAGTGTCCGGAGAGAAAAGGCGGAGAGGATTAAATGCGGTTGGCTTTGCCGTTGTCAGGGCGGTAGATTCCCCGAAAGGAGCTTGAAATGAGCCTCGTGGGGGGTAGAACAAAATTTGATGGTAATAGCTGTGACATCCTTGGAAATGATGATTTATTATTTTCCAATGTGCTGATACCATATTGTGTTATTTTTGAACACACAACAAAGGATCCCATTTAGCTTGCAGCCCGTGGGGGTCTTCGGAAGGAGGAAATGGGCTAGTGTTTTAAGAAAAAAAGTATATCTGTGTGTAGCATATTAAATATTTTTTTTTTTTTTTTGCTTTTTTGGGGAAAAAAGTGCGTGAGAAGCATTGTAGGAAGTTCTGAAAGCTTGTTGGTTGTCTTTAGAATGAAAAGCCAGTGAGTAATTGTAAGGACTATGCCAGACACTGAAGCTAGAAAGAATGAATGGGAAAGAAAAAGGAATTTTCTCACATAGCGGCTTTTGGCAAGTCCCACCCCTTCTGCTTACAACCCTCTTTCTCTAACACACTCAGCACACACGCACGTTTATCGCCTCCAGAATTTACACAACATGCCTGAGTCCCACTTGAAGGCATCCTAGGCTTTAAAACCATGGTGTGCAAAGGGCCAAGTGTGCTCTTTGTGGTGTAAGGCAAACATACATGCAGCATTGCACCGGCCTTTATTTATTTATACTGCTTGTGGTTTGTGTGTCTGCAGTGCATTCCGTAGAATGAAAACATTTTCAAGTGTCATTTTATTTCCTTGTGTCCTTTCCTAGGAAGATGTTTCTTTGAAGAGTTACATGTTGAAACAGGTTGTACAACTCAAGCATTTTTAGTTTGTCTAAAACAACCACAAACACCTTGGAAATTAGTGTTCTGGGAAGATACAAGGGAAGATTGTCACTTAACGTTTTAATTTTGGACTTTTTAGGGTTTGCCAGGATGGAGTAGTCATGGTCTCTATTATTCATTTTGCACAAAATTAATCGAATGCTTTTCTTACCAGAAACAAGAGAAAGTGGAAAGAGTACATATTTTATATAGATGAGAAGAACCAGTAATGGATGACACAGAAACGGCAGTGGCGTCTTACACTGCTTTTCTCCTCCTGACACATCCATGCGATACACAAAGGAAGAAAGACTGGTTTCCCCCATTGGAGGAAAACTAGGGACTAGGACTTCCTAAAGAAGCTGTATATGTTCCATAAAATAGGTTAATGCCACTAAAATATTTTGTGTTATCCTTTGAGGTGCTCTGCACCCATATTTCTATTTTTGCTTCATAACAGTGTATACTGTGCACTGAAGAAATTAATTTGCATTTTGCAGTGAAGAAATAAGCTGTTAACTCACAAGCAGTGGGGTAGTATTTTTATATGGTTTTCTGTTCTCCACCATACTTCTACTATAAAAACCCCTCAGTGTGAGTTTTAATAAATACTTGTTAACTGGTTATGCTATTTATTCCCCAGTTCTACCCTCCAGGACTTTAAAACTTTGATTCAGCCAGATCCCATTTGATCATTATCTTGGTACATGGATGTATATTTGTGTAACAGGGTTTGGCAACAGTACTGCCTCTAGATGCAGTGCTTTTTGATATTTTCTATTCTAATCCTTTTTTAAAAAAAAATTATGCTGAGACTCACAGTTTAAAAACTTTTCATTGTAGACTACAAAGTGATTGGCAGACTTTCTTGTAAAGGGCCAGATAGTGAATATTTTAGGTTTTCTGAGCATTTAATATGGTCTGGATCACATCAATATCTTTTTTTTTTTTTTTAAATAACTTTTAAACACATACCCTGCCCTGGAAGTTGAGATGGTATAAAGCTGGCTGCAGACCGAGGCCACCGTTCGCTGACCTCTGGCCAGAGAAGGAGAAAAGGTCAAAACAGTGTAGTTAAGAAAAAATGTATAAGGAATGAACCTGGAAAGTACAGCCATATCAGTTTAATGTCTTTCTCCAGAAAAGTGCCAAGGAAAACCCAATAGATAATGGGTAATTTCTCTGACAATGTCAAGAGTAAGCACGGGAAGACACACCACAAGACCTAGCTGGGCCAATAACTTTTAAATTTTCACTTGCAATTCAGGGTCATTTGATTGAGAAATGAACAGTATCTGGTGCCATTCTTCACTTGATCATAGCCAAAAGGCCAAGAATTGGTTATCTGGTACCCTTGGAGAGCTGTTTTGAGTAGGTTGTGGTGGGATGTACCATCTTTTTGGTTTTTTTCCTTGTCAACAGACATCACAGGTCATTCGAATATCGTGACTATACTTTGGAAAAAAAAATGTTGATCAAGATATAGTGAGGACAGTACCGTAATAGCTCCTGATCTTATTAATAGCTAAAAAAAGAGCTGTCATTTGTTAACATTTGCTGTGCAGTAGCACTGTCTAAATACTTTAGTTGATCATCCCAGCTCTGTGAGGAAGACGGGGCTGTCACTTACCTGGTGTTTCACAGCCGTTGTGCTGCAGTGTTAGGGTTGGGACTCACGTGGGCCTAGTTGCACCTCTGTGCTCTTCACTACAGACATTCCTGATTTAATGACCGAGTTCTTAAAGGTCATAAACGAATTTGTCACTAGATGAGGAATTGTATACAGTATGTAGAGTACAAGATTCAGAACAAAGAAATGGTCAAAGGAAATGCCACCTTGACTTTGCTTTTATTTCCATAACCTTTATATGCGGTATTGTACTGAATAACAGAACATAAAGCTACAGTAGTATACAGTATAATCAGTGAAAATTACAGCACAGGTATATCTCATTTAATAACCTAGCTGTGTAATGATTGTTTGGATTTAACTACTGGCTGCTTGGACTTATGACCTGTCCTTTTTTTGTACAGTTCTGTATATCTTGTTGATAGACCCGCAGTGTCTTTTTTTGTACAGTACACACTTGTTATACAGTACTGTAATCTTTGGGGTTTACTGTACAGTGGTGTAGTTTTGTATCTGTTGTACATTACAGTACTGCATATAAGAGTTATGCAAATAAAAGCAAACTCATCCAGTTGGAGTTTCCTTTGGCCATTTTTTTTGTTCTGAATATTGTAATGTACACACTACACACAATTTCATTTAGTTACCAATTCATTTAACGACCTAGTTGCAGGAACAGAACTCAGTCGTTAAATAGAGTGTCTGTACTATATAAACAGGATGTACAGAAAAAAAATACAGTGACACTCTGTAAACAAGATGTGCAGAACTGTACAAAGAAAAGACAAGTTGTAAGTCTGGGCAGTCGTAAGTTCAAACAGTGTGCCTTGTTTTAATAAGTCCAAGTCGGTAAAAGGAATATCTGTATCAGATTTATCTCCAGAAAGAGCTGGGGTGGTACAACCTGTGCTAGTTTCTTATCTATCAAGCTCTTCTTAGGACTCTTAATGTGTTTTATCTTCATGGCTTTGGAAAATTAACTTGTCCAAGGTCATACACAGAACCACCGTGTAGCAGAACCTGGTTTCTTATATTTGTCTGAACTTGAAGTCCAAGATCATGAAGGAGTTGTTAAGTGAAATTTGTTCTACAGGCTGACTTGCAGTTTTTCTGGTTATTTTTCTGATCATGGTCATGGGTGTGCATCATTGGTTCATATCTTCTCTCATGTGATGATATTTATAACAGGTTAGGGTTAAAAGCAAGTCTTTGACCTTGCAACCCATGCCCATTGACTCACATAAGGTTCAGGCCCATGACCTTGCCCTCATACTATAGTGCTTTAATTAGAAAGCCAGGCACCTACACTCAGGTAGGAAAATCATCTGGTTCAGGCATCAGTAATTTTTGAGGGTCAGGGGCTATGGCTGTAGATGGCGCCAGACAGGGTACAAGACCAGATGGATGAAGGTTATTTTTACTTCTTTAACAAAAGAAATCTTCCTCTGCTTATAGTTTTATCTCTCTCTTGTACTTTTCTGTTTTTATCAGAAGAGTAAATTTTAATAATTTTTAATATTACAACTTTATTTTCTGTCAATTCTGG